GGGAGCACAGGCCGGGAGGAGGGAGGACTGAGGGGTGGGAGCCCCCAGTGGGAACACAGGCCAGGAGGAGGGAGGACTAGGGGGGTGGGAACCCCCAGTGGGAGCACAGGCCAGGAGGAGGGAGCCGAGCCCTTGGGTGAGCCGACGCCTCCAGGAAGCCAGCAATGTAGGTAAACTGCTCTGACAGCACCCGCTCCCCAGGTCAGATGACACCCTTCACACCCTTCAGACACCCGTGGGTGTCGGGAGGCCACGTCCTCCTGTGGGAGGCATTCTGGGTGCTCAGGGGCCCGGGCCAGACGGAGGACTGGCCAGGGCAGCTGTCCAGACGAGCGGCCTCTGGAGGACACATACAAGGAAGGGATGGGAGCTGCCCGGCCTCTCCCTGCTCTGGGCCCCGCGGTCATGGTCCCCCAGAGAGGGCCACTCCTGCTGCTGGCCCTCAGCCTGGGCCTGGCTTGTGCCCAGCAGACACTAGAAGAGGTGCCCGTACAGCCAGGCTTTAATGCCCAGAAGGTAACCGAGCCGGGTCGGGTCCCAGCTCGGCCCTGGGACGGGGATGAGGGTCCCGGTGTCTCGTGGTGGCACTCCACCAGCAGGAGCCGAGGAGAGAGGCCACGTGAGGGGCAGGGGCGTCCCCAGCCCAGGCCCAGCATCTGCCCAGGCCACCGGGCACCCAGCTGAGCACTGTCACCCTTGGGACGGGAAGGGACCTGCCCATTGCCCACCACCGCGGGGGTCGTGGCTGGTGCTGGCTGGCAGGAGCAACCCCGGGCCTCGGTGGTGGCCCCAGGACAGTCCCCCCCCCCCCACCCCCCCAGGTCCAGGCCAACAGAGGACGGAGCCTGGACCAGACACGGGAGGAGCTGAAGGGGGCAGGGAAGGGAGAGGCAGCAGGAAGGGGCCCAGGGGACCCAGAGGGCAGCCTGACAGGGAAGGGCATTTGCAACAGGGATGGGCCACTTGTCCCCCACGCTGACCCGCCCCCCCCGCCGCACACCCGCAGGTGGAGGGGCGCTGGCTGACCATCCAGCTGGCCTCTAGCCGTGCACACCTGGTCTCCCCAGCCGACCCCCTGAGGCTCGGCCTCCATTCCATCTGGACCCGGGATGAGGATGTGACGTTCGTCTTGTTCTGGACGTAAGCGTGGCCCCTGCAGCTCCTCACGGGGTGGTCTTCCCAGGGGCCTCCCAGGGGACAAGGACCAGGGGTTAGACCCAGAGGGACACGGGGCACCGAGCTGCAGGCTCGAGACCGTCCTGAGAGGTAGGAGGTTTCACCTCAGAAGCCCCCAAAGCTTTACGACAGGGGCCGTGGGGAGACGCACGGGGCCCGGTCCTCGGCCGCCGGCGTCCCTTCCTGCCTTGTGAGCTGGAGGGGCCGGGGCAGCACTGCGGTCAGTTGGTCAGGAACATCTACAGCGGTGACGAGCCGTGCTGAACCCAGAGACACTTACAACACTCTGCACCGGTGGCCTTGACGACAGTGAGAGCCACGTCCTTGCCTGCGCTGGGCCACAGACACCACGGCGCTGGCCTGTGCAGCCCCAGGGTCTGCTGGTACCCAGCCCACCCCCGCCCACCCCAGGTGAGAAAGGAAGACCGGGGGGCAGGGGGCCAAAAAGGCTTGGTCTTCGTGTGGAGCCCAGGTGACCGGGGACGGCCAGGACCAGGCCACCCACCCAGAGACCGGAGGCTCCGAGCCAAGGACAGACAGGTGCAAGTCGTCCCCGGGGGCTTTGGTTCCGTTCCAGAAACCGGGAAGCCCCTGGTTCCTCACTCCTACCCTCTAGCCCCGTCCAGGCACCTCAGGGGCCCACCCTCTTCCTCCCTGCTGGGTGGCCCTCGGGAACCCAGGTAGCCGAGGGATTCAGGTGGACACCTGGGACCTCAGCCAGGGCGCCTCCGATGCCCCCGGGGGCAGAGCCCAAGCCGGCACCGTCCAGTGCCAGTAGACAGGGAGAGGCCGTGACCCCGGAACGCTCCCTCCTCTTTCCCCAGAGGAGAGGGCGTGTGCCAAGGAGTCAACGTCACCGTCCACCCGACTGGGCTCCAAGGCCAGTTCCAAGGCTCCTGTGAGTGGCCCAGGCCCCCGGCCCGGGTGCCGTGCTGGGCGAGGGGAGGGCAGGGGACACCCGATGCCCTGCACTGGGGTCACGGGGGAAGCGCCGTGCCGGAGGGAGACGCCCTCCCGGTGCCCAGCGCTGCCCCGGGGGTGGGTCTGGGGGCGGAGGAGAGGGGGCTCACCTGTCACCGCCCGGGGTCTCCCACAGGGGAAGGAGGCAATAGCATGCACGTCTGCTTCGTCGGCACCGACTACAGTAACCTCGTTCTTTACGTCCGCCTCGAGGACGCCGGCGAGGTCACCAGCCTGTGGGCGCTGCTGGGTAGGTGGTGGCCCTCCCCGACCCCGGGGCGTCTGCCGGGCCCCGTGCTTACTGCCAGCGGCTCCCTGGCCGCTCAGAGCTGCACCCCTGTGGGCGCCCCTCAGGTCGGGCATCCCTGCCTGCACCGCTCGATCCCTCAGGAATTCCTCCAGCCCATCTCCCGCCTGCTTCGCCTGTGTCCGGGGAGCGGGGACGCTGCGCCAGAGCAGAAACCCTCCCCTGCCTTCGCCGGGGAGATAGCCTGTGAGCCTAAAAGCCACTGAGTCACATCGGGCTCCAGAAAGTGGAAGTGCCATGTGGAGAAGGGTGGGAGGGTGTGGAGGGTGGGCTTCGTGGGGAGGGGGGCCGCGCCTTGTCCTCCAGACCGGACGGAGGGGAGGGGCTGTCCCGGGGATGGGCCCCACCAGAGCCAGAGCCCAGGGGGTGGGCAGTGGGGAGGGGGCGGCCAGGGCCTGCAGGCAGCAGGCTGCGGGGTGAAGGGAGGACCCCCGGGGACCCTCCCCCGAGGGGCTAGGGCTGCACCTGGGCTGCCCAGGGCGGACCTGCTTTCGGAGGGGGGCGGCGGCCCAAGGCTAGACCGCGGCAACCAGCCAGACGGTAGGGTAGGAGGAGGGGCGCCCTGAGAAAGGTCGGGGCCCGTGGGCTCTCGGCGTCGCCCCCACCCGACCCCGTGATTCCAGCCAGGACAACGCCCGGGGACCCCACGTGGCTGGGGAAGTACCTGGAGTGCGTTCGGGAGCTCCGGCTGCACAAAGCCCCGGTCTTCAATCTCGATGGTGAGTGCGTGGACGCTTCCCCGACGCCAGGCCGCGCCGGGAGCACAAGACCAGGGCACAGAAAACCACGGCCAGCCTCTCCGGGGCCCATGTGGGCGGGCCTGCGCTGGGCGCCCTGTGACGTGGCGACCCGGGCACAATATCCGTCTCCATTCCCGGGGGTCCAGACGCTGAGGCTCAGAGAGGCTTAGAAATAAGGCCCAGGCCACACAGCAGGGCCCCTCACCCTCCCTTCCCTGTGCGTCATTCAGTCCATCAACAAACACAGGCCAGGCTGTCTGGGGGGCACGGTGCACGTAGACGGAACGAGACAGACACGTTGTCCAGACCTTGTGCGGTTTCACAGGGACGGGGCAGCGGGGACAGGGCAGTTCACTGACCTGCTGGGAAAAGAGAGCCCAGAGCAGGGGAGCACGGCCGTGCTGTGGGTCACCCATGCGGGGGGCTGGCTGAGGGGCAGGCGGGGTCGTGGAGTCTGGGGGTCAAGGTGAGGGCCCCGGGACCATGGCAGGACGTGGCCGCCTTGGGGGCTGGACGGCAGAAGGCAAGGTGATCCCGGAGAGGGGCGGGCCGCGAGCTGTGTTGGCGTGATTTCGAAGTGGACGGACAAAGCCTCGGCGTATCCCCATCCTGTTCTCTTCCCTCCACAGCCCGGTGTCCCCCAGCTGAAGCCTAGGTCAGGGCCGCCCGAGGCTACCTGCCCGGCCCTCCTGCCCCCTGCCCTCGCCTCTCCCCGCTTCCCCCACCTTGCTTGCTCCGGTGCCCCCCAACCCCCCGAGGCAGACCCTCCAGCCTGGGCCTGGCCCCCACCTTGTCCGCCTCCCAGCCTCTCCCGGCCCGGCCCAGGGGCGTGAGAACGCTCTAGGAGGGGACAGGTGGCCCCCGGAAGTCTGGGCCACAGCGAACACAGCACTGCAGTCTGGCGGATGGGGCCACCTGTGGAGTCCCTTCAGGGACACGACCCTGCGAGGGGCTGGACTGTACCCTCTGACCTGCTCCCGCCACCTGGGTCCTGCTAGGATGACTCCAGAGGTGCCCTGGGCCCCCGTGAGCCAATGCAACAAGTCCCCGCCCAGGTCAGAGGGCGCCGAGCGAGCGCTGCACCAGCCCGTGCTCCCCAGAGGAGCCAGGTCAACACAGGCCCGTGCACCTGCACCACAGATGAGACAGCGCCGTCCCCTGGAAGTCAAGGCCACTACGAGGGCAGTGCCCGGACGGAAGGCGTCCCCCTCTGCCCAGGCGAGCCGGGGACCACCCGCTGCAGGGCAGGCTCTCAGGAAACTGGGTCAGGGGCCTCCATACTTACCGTCTGGAAATGCCGGAGACCGGTATGACCGGATCCCGCCCCAGATAACGCCCTGGGCAAAGACGGGGCCTCCCAGACCCACGCCTCGCAGCAAGGCAACATCCACGGCCACGTGAGGCCGGCACGACGGCGAGCTGGCCGCCGGCGCGGATGTCTGGCTGTGGCTCCGTCAGCCCCTGGAGACGAACAGGTGCTGAAACACGATGCTTTCCTGCTCATTCGGCAAGAAATCTGCAGAACGTATGGGGAGAAAAAATTTTTAAATCCTTACTCTGGGAACCTGAGAAACGACTTGAGTAAATGGATATGGGATATTCCCGCAGAGTCCTTCAACGTCATAAGTATCTAATAATCTTCAAATTAACCTATCTATCCGAGCAATCCAGTCAACGTTCCAGTGGGATCCTTACCCCAAACTGCAAACCAGAATCTAAAAGGAACAAAAGTTTTGAAATGTTTGACAGAGAGCAAATACTGTGTTATTCTAACAAAATACTGTGTGACAGAGAGCAAATACTGTGTTATTCTAACAAAACATGAACGTACAGCGATTACAATTGTGGGGAGTTAGCTCAGGGGCAGAGGAAAGATCAAGAAACGAACCCTAACAAGTATAATAACTCAATGTGGTGTACAAAGGGCCTGTCTTAAGGGGCATTATTTATTCAATAAACATTGTTGGGGGAAATGGCCAAGATATTTAGAGGAAAAAAATAAGTTTTGACATCTAACTCTTTGCATTATCTCAAAATAATTCCTGATTGCTTCCAAATAAGCAAGAAACCCGGAGAGTTCGACACTGTGTGGAAGAATGTGATGGAATCCCACCCCATGCATCCTACCCTATGGATGGGACGGGACGAGCTCCTACCCCACGCATAGTAAGGGAAAAGATGGTAATTATGTTTTCGGCGCATCAAAACCATCCTCGCCCAAATTACGCATGAACCTGAACTCAATGTCGTCGACAAGCTCGATAAAGGGTTCACGTCCCATCTGTGAAGATATGTATCCGAGCCTCTGACCGGGGCCCCTATGTGAGGAAAGTGGCACACACACACAGACAGCCCGTCCCTACGGCGTAAAAGGAGCTTTGACATCATAAGGATCCCAGAGAAAGATACGCTATTTTTACTTACCAAATCGGCAAGATTCCATTTTTTCCCCAGCTGAGTCAGCGCCCACTGTGTGGGGGTGCTCGCGCTTGCTCGGAGAGATGGCCCTGGCCTCTGTGTCCTGTGGACAGACCTGCTCTTGGGCCTGAAACTTTGAGGCATGAACACGTTCACCTGCCCTTGTCCCAGAGAAGCCAAGGAACTCACGGTGTCTCCAATGCCGTGATTTCATCAGAGGGAGGTTAGAGCCCCTCCAGTAAGACCCCCGGCCTTGCCCACCAGTCGGGGAAACGCTCGAGTTTGCTCGAGTCAGGTACTGAACCGCACGGCCCCCTCTCAGGCCTGACCTGAGATCGCTAACGCTAAGTGTCATGCATGCGGGGCTTGTGGCTCGCAGAACATCTCTTTTCTCCGTTTGGAGACATTCACAGAGTTCTGTGTGAGAGCCACTCGGTGAAACCCAGGAGTGGGTGTGGCAGGACGTGGTCGAAGGGGCACGGACGGGGCTTGGCCCCAGGTGGACTCGGGGACGAGCCGGCAGCCTCGTGCCTGCCTTCCCAGCCCCCCGCTTCTACTCCGGGGACCAATCCTCAGGATTTCAGTGTTTTATTTGCCGTTGGGGGAACCCTCACTGTATGGCTCACCGGCCGTCACACGGACCCACATTCCGGAGGCCCAAACCTCAGACGCGTATCCCGCGCGCCCTAGAGGCTGGAGTCCGAGATCCAGGCGGGGCAGGGCTGTCACCTCCCGAGGCGGCCCTCCTGGCGTGCAGACGGCCGTCTTCTCCCGTGTCCTCACACAGTCGCCCCTCTGTGTGTGCGTGTCTCCTGTCTCAAAAGGTCAGGGCCCACCTTGTGACTTCACCGTAACTTCATCGCCTCTGTGAAGACCTCGTCTCCAGGTAGTCATGTGCTGGGGTGCTGGGGTCAGGGCCTCCACATGTGAACTGGGGGACACAATTCAGGCCTGATGCTGTCTAATCCTCTTTGTTGTCCCATAAAGAAAAGCTTCGGGCCCTCCAGCCCCCGTAGGGACTCTCTAAGCCCTCCCTGCCCTAAACATACAGTGGTCTCTTCCACGATGGCATGCCACCACCCACGGGGGGGGGGCAGTTCCCCCTCCAGAGCCGCCCACGTCCCCCTCCAGAGCCACCCACGTCCCCCTCCTCGCTTTTAGCACTCCTGGCTACTGAGGCACGTGCATATTCTGTGAGCTGATGAACGTCTCCTCTGTATTTTAACCCTTTGCCCTTTTGGGTGTGTATGTCTTTTTCTGGGCTACAATCTTTCTCCATTTAATAAATCATTTTGGGGTGCCTGGGTGGCTCAGTCGGCTAAGCATCCGATTCTTGATTCGGTTCAGGTCATGAACTTGCAGTCTGTGAGTTTGAGCCCCGCATCAGGCTCTGTGCTGACAATGAGGACCCTGCTTGGGATTCTGTCTCTCCTTCGCTCCCTGCCCCTCCCCTGACTTGTCTCTCTCTCTCTCTCTCTCTCTCTCTCTCTCTCTCTCTCAAAATGAATAAATTAAAAAAAAAATAAATCATTGTATGCCTCAGAAATGACGCCCCGGCTCTCTACAGTACATGGGTCCCAACGTCACTGTGAGTAGACATTAAATAGTCATCTTTATTCTTTATCCTGCACGGACCAAACTGGACAGTTCTAAACGGCAAGGAGAAACATTTCCCTTGGGTGGTGTGCACGCGCCAGCCCCGGAAGCCAGGAAAAGCATCGGGACGCCCGTGACCCCGGGAACCTGCCGCCGGGCGTTCACAGGAGCCGGCAGGTCAGAAGTACCGGCGGGAGAGCCGCGTGGCCTTGACCGACCAGACCTGCGCGGGGGGCCGGAGTGCCGTGTTCCAGCTGTATTCGGGAGACAGCAGCTTGGTGGGCTTGTGCGTGAAAAAATACTTGTTCAGGTGCCTCTCGTAGGTGCTATTCAGCCCATTCTTGTGGTCGTGAGTGACCCCTTGCAGGTAACCTTCGATGAGGGTTAAGACCTCCAGGGGCCTGCCACCGATGACCGAGCCGTCATAGTAGAAGTCCCCCTGCCCAAACGGGATGCACGCTGCCGATTTGGGCCTCCTCTCGTAAGGGATGTCCTTGTTTTTAAAATACCACCAGGCATGGAGCTGAGCCACGGACGCGCCCAGGGTCTCCACCCCAAAGTCGTTCTGGAAGACCCTGTTGACGGTCATGCTGAACAGAAAGTCGACTTCGCCCTCAATGTGCCCTAGTATGTGCTCAGCCAGGGAACTCATGCGTGTGAGGTGAAAGTCACCCCACCGGTCTCCTTTGATGGGGAGGACCTTGAAAGTTCGGAGAGGATCTGGCTCCAGGTCCGGCAGCCTGGACAAGGCGTCCACCATGATGTAAAAGACAACTCTGTAGCCGCTCATGAAGTGCTTATTCGCTGATCGCATGAACAGCTCCAGGTACTGGTCCGCAGTCCTGCAAAACACACACGTGCACGGAGGAAGCCGCTCCCCGAACGCTCGCGAGAGAGGAACGCACGTCCCCAAACGTCTAACTTATGAGTCACCGACGCTCCAGGACCCCCAGCAGGAAAGGGGAGACAGGCCCGGTCTATAGTTTCGACGGCACTGGTCAGTGAGAAAGGACATATTGACCTGGAGGGTCTGGGAAAAAAGCCTTTAAAGTTTTGGAACGACTGTTGGGAAGAAAGAAAATGTGAACTCCATGGTATGTGTAAAAAGGCAGCTAAGTGGCTTTAACGACCCGGCTAAGGAAGGAGTCTTTGTTTTTGTTCAGGACAGCCACATACGGTGGTTGTGGGCAGCTACGGGCAGCCTTTTGGAGGTAGAAGGTCCCCGGGCACTCATTCGGTTTTTTGTTTTTTGTTTTTTGTTTTTTTTTTTCAGAATAAAACGGGGCAAACCGATGGCCCCTACCTGCCAGTGGCAAGGACAGCCAAGCCTATGGTGAGGTTCTGTCTCCCGTAGTATCTCCCCAGGACCTGTCTATTGAAGGTGCCTTCCCATATGACTGGGGCCAGCCAGTCCGTGATTGTGACAACATCAGGGCGTTTCCTGTTAACAGACGAGAAGCCAGTGAAGCCGGTGCCCCAGCGGAGGCCGTCCAAGCGACACCGGCTGACGCCTACAGAGCCCTTACCACGTGCCGGGCACCGTGTTGGTGTTCATTCGGTCCTTGCAGTGGTCTGTGCGGGAAGCACAATCATGGTCCTTGTTCTTGGTGTGCAGAAACAGAGGCACAGATCGGTGGAGCGAGCTGCCTAATACCGCAGAGCTGACACATGTGGGTCAGTACGCGAGACCCAGCACCTGCTGCTTTTGTCACCGCGCCACCTGCCTCTGGGCCCAGGGACGACCTCCTCTGAGCTCCGGCTCAGCTGAACTGAGGCAGCTCAGAGTCAGAACGGCCTCTGGTATTGCCTGAAGCCAGGGCTGCACGCACACTACCTCTGCGTCCCTATGCTTTATCTTCTGTTTCTCCTCTTTGTCTCTCCCTCCCCTTTCCCTAGAAGATCCAGAAGGTGCTTTCTCTAAACTCCCCCCCTCTTGCATGAGGTCCATTAGTGCCATCTGGCAGAAATAAAAAGTCTAAAAAGGAGAGGGACGTTAGATGTACTTTCAATAACAGCACTTAAAGCCTGCAAAGCTGGTTCAACATGTGAAAACCGTTTGATGCACCTGCCACAGCAGGAAATTAAAGAACAGTCAGATGCCCATATCAGTTGACACAGAAAAAAACATTATACAAAGTCCAACACCCATTCATGATGAAAAAAAAAAAAAAGAAAGAAAAGAAAGAAATGAAAAACTCCCAGAAAAAATAGAAAGAGAGGGGAATTACCTTAACTTGATCAAGAGCATCTACAAAATTCCTGTGGCTAACATCATACTCAACGGTGCAAGACTGAATGTTCTCTCACTAAACCTGGGAATGAGGCAGGGATGTTCCCTCTCACCAGCTCATAGTCAGCAGAGTTATGTGAATTCTAGCCATTGCAATAAGATAGGAAAAGGAAATAAAAGCACCAGACTAGAAAGGAGAAGATAATAACATCCCTATATGCAGATGATTTGTTTACATATAAAATCCTACAAAATCTACCCAAATCTCCTAGAACTAACAAGTGAAGTCAGCAAGGTTACGGGACACAAGATCAGCACACACACAGAATGAATCCATTTCCATATACCAACAAGGAACATGCACGAACTAAAATTAAAAACACAATGCTATTTGCAGTTGCCTCCAGAAAAAAAAAAATGAAATATTTCGATACACCACTGTACCCACCAGAAGTCCCTGCCCATTCCCCCCCCCAACTTCCTGTAACCCACGGCAACTAATCCACCATTGGTCTGTGTAGATTTGCTTATACTGGGAATTTCATACAAATAGAATCATGCCGCGTGTGGTCTTTGGTGCCCAGCTTCTTTCGCTTAGCCTGCTCGTGGGGAGGTTCTGTATTGTAGCATGGATCAGTAGTTCCTTTCTTTTGTGGCTAAATAATATTCTAAGGCATGGATTTTGTTTATTCCCTTGTCAGTCGATGGACATTTTAGTGGTTTGCATTTTTCGGCGACTATCAATGCTACCGCTATGAACATTTCTCTGCAAGACTTTCTGTAAACATACATTTTTTTTTTAATTCTCTTGGGTGTGTACCTAGAGGGGAAATTTCTGGGTCGTATTGTAATTTCACGGCTAACTTTTTTAAGAACTGCCAAACGTTTCCAAGCAGCTGCATCATTTTACGTTCCCACCAGTAGTTCGCAAGAGTTCCAAACTCGCTGCTTTCTCACCAACATCTCCTGTGGTCTAACTTTTGGAATCTAGTCATCGTGCAGTCTTTACGCCTCGTAGGGTGTGAAGCAGTATGTCACCGTGATCTGGATTTGCATTTCCCAGATAACTAATGATGTCAAGGATCTTTTCGTGGGCTTATTAGCCACATAGTCGAAAGAGCTGAATTAAGTCTTGGGGCAACAAAAGCAAAAGCAAACAGCTGGGACTACATCAAACTAAAAAGCTTTGGCACAAAAAAGGAAACCATCCACAGAATGAAAATGCAACCTACTGAATGGGAGAAGATATTTGCAAATGACATGCCCGATAAGGGATTAATATCCAAAATAGTTTTAAATTTTTTTTTCAACGTTTATTTATTTTTGGGACAGAGAGAGACAGAGCATGAACGGGCGAGGGGCAGAGAGAGAGGGAGACACAGAAATGGAAACAGGCTCCAGGCTCTGAGCCATCAGCCCAGAGCCCGACGCGGGGCTCGAACTCACGGACCGCGAGATCGTGACCTGGCTGAAGTCGGACGCTTAACCGACTGCGCCACCCAGGCGCCCCCCAAAATAGTTTTAAAAACCCATACAACTCAACACCAAAAAACAATCCAGCAAGAAAACTAGAGGGGTGCCTGGGTGGTTCAGTTAGTTAAGCGTCCAACTCGATTTTGGTTCAGATCATGATCCCAGGGTCATGGGATCAGGTTCTGTGCTGGGCACGGCGCCTGCTTACGATTCCCTCTGCCTCTCCCTCTGCCCCCCTGCCTCCCTTGCGCACACACTCTATCTGCCAAAAAAAAAAAAAAAAAAAAAGGACAGATGGGGGCACCTGGCTGGTTTCATCAGTACAGCGTGTGACTCTCGATCCCGGGGTTGTGAGCTGGAGTTGGGCGTGGAGACTACTTAACAATAAAATCGTTAAAAATAATAATAATAACATAATTTTAAAAAATTAAAAATGGACAGATGACCTGAACACACATTTCTCCAAAGAAGACATCCAGACGGCCAACGGACACGTGAAAAGATGCTCGACATCACTCATCACCAGCGAAATGCGAATCAAAACCAAAACGGGGTATCACCTCACGCCTGTCAGAGTGGCCAGTAGCGAAAAGACAAGAAACGACACGTGTTGGCGAGGATGTGGCCCCAAGGGACCCTCAGGCCCTGTTGGTGGGGACGTGAGTTGGTGCAGCCGCTGTGGAAAACAGTATGGAGTTTCCTCAAAAAAGTCTAAAACAGAAATTTCAAAACAGAAGTAATTCCACTTCTGGGTATTTACCCGAAGGCAATGAAAACACTAATTCTAAAGCTACATGCTCCGTCATGTTTATAGCAAGCAGCATTGTTTACGACAGCCAGGGTGTGGAAGCAGCCCGGGTGTCCATCAGGAGATGAACAGAGAAGATGTGGTGTGTTCACACAATGGGGTACTAATCAGCCACAGGAAAGAATGAGATCTCGCCATTCGTGACGGCACGGAAGGAGCTAGAAGGTATTGTGCTAAGCGGAACAAGTCAGAGACAGACAAGCACCAAGTGATTTCTCTTATACATGGAATCTGACAAAACAAATGAACAAAGAAACAGAAAAACAGACTCCTTAAATGCAGAGAACAAACCGGGGGTTGCCCGGGGGGGGGGAGGGGGGGCATTGACGAAACAGGGGACAGGGAGTGAGGTACAAACCCCCGGTAATACGAAAAGCAACTCACGGGACGAGAAGTACGGCACAGGGAATACGGCCCACGACACTGTACTGAGTCTGTAAGGGGACGGTTGGGGCCACACGGAGGGTGGGGGGGTGGGCACTTTTATTGTCTTCTCTGGGGGCAATGTCCCCTGTGTACAGGCCATACTGTCTTTTTCTCTGCCTGTCTGGTAATTTCGGGTAGACAAACGGATCATTTCAAGAATGTGGCAGTCTAGAAACCTGATTCTTTCTAACTGACCAGGGATTTCAGCGAGACCATAAATAACAAAGAAAACAGACTTTAGGGGGCTCCTGGATGGCTCAGCGCATTAAGCGTCCGACTCTTGATTTCGGCTCAGGTCATGATCCTGGGGTCGTGAGGCTGAGCCCCGAGTCGGGCTCCACGCTGAGCACGGAGACTGCTTAAGATTCTCTCTTTCTGTCTCCCTCTGCCCCTCTCCCCCACTTGTGCTCTCTCTCTCCCTAAAATAAAAAAAATAAAAAAATACAGACTTTATAAAAGTCATTAAACAAAGGACCGTAACGACATAACGAGAAACAGGAAACATACCCAGGGTGGGGGGAGGGAGGTCTGGCTCAAGACTGTTGCAGAGCCAGAGAGAGCACCCAGTCCAGGACGAGTTATAATGCCGGAACACTTACTTTTCTTACTGAGTGTCACCTCTTTTTTTTTTTTTTTTTAATTTGAGTTGGACGCTTAGCCAATTGAGCCCCCCAGACGCCCCTACGCCTGTCTTCTTTGACCTAATGGCTCTGTCTTGGGGATCTGTCCCACAGATCAACTCACACGACAGTTGAAAAGATCGACGTCCCAACGTGTGTCACTGAAACATCATTGCAAAAGCCCCAAACCGTAGACAATCTAGAACCAGTAGGGAGTAGGTTGAGTGCCTGACGGTGCATGGCCCTGAAGTCCAACACTCCTTGGCCATTACAGACGGGGACGGGGCTCCCCAGCGCGGGTGCCAAAATATAGAGGGGCCATCACGGCACCTTCAAGCCACCCCCAAAGACAGTCTGTCACTCACTACGCCAAGACGGTTAAACCAAGTACCACGTGCCCATATCGACGGCCTTAAAAATTGCAACTCCGGCCGCAGGAAGCCTCCCAGGGCAGCTATGATTGGGTGACCGGGAGAGGCCTATGGCTCCAAACTGGGCACTATTATCCTCGTGCGGGGGTGGGCGTGTTCATTCTTACCCAGGATGAAACCAGTCTGAGAGCCTGAGTTCTTCTGCGGGAGGCCTGCAAGCGAAGGGAAAACCGAGTTATTATAAGTCACCCATCTGTTCAGCAAATATTTACGGAGCTCCCGCGGCATGGCGGGTGCTGTCCGGCACTGGTTCCACGGCTGTGGCCCTACAGCCTTCACACTGCCCTGGGGGAGCTGAGGAGGTGACCAGTGGCCCCCAGGCTTAGGGGCTGCCGGTGGGGACAGGCCCTGGGTATGTAAGTGGTCCATCCGACCCGATTTGGGGGTCAGGTGAGCCACGCAGAGAGGAGTTATCTCCGCGCGTCTGGAAGGGGACACATGGTCAGGAAGAGGGGCAGGGCGAGGAGGCGACGGCCACAGTGGGAAGGCAAGAAAGGGCTTGTCCGCGTGTTGCTGCCTTGTGCGGATTCAGCGCCCTTGTCCCCCGCGGAGTGGCTTTGCCATGTTAGTGTGAACGGGCTGGAGAAGGAGTCAGTTGTCGTCTTTGGTTTTGATCTAAGTATGTGATTCACCTTGAGTTCTGTGGTGCTTTAACGAGCGCATTAGGTGGCTTGCTCCCGTAGTGCCAGGACGTGCTGTCCGTAAGGGAAGAAGCTCGAGAGGGCACCCCAATTTCATTATCGGACTCTCCAGGATCAGACTGTCAAAATCCAGACGGCCAGTGCCGAGCTGCACTAAAACCACGAAGCGACAAACGGCCAACTTACTACAAAATGGCCTTTCTTTTAGAATGTCGGTGTCACGGGCTCCTGGGGTCGTACCGAGCGTTGGAGGAGTAGAAGATGTGGTTGGTTGAGGAGGGGGTCCTGACCTAAAGACACCACCACCCCGGAGAGAGGAGCCAACGCACGGCGGAGCCGGCCTCGTCCCGGGCGGG